TCGACAGTCTCCGCATCAGTGAATGACATGCGCTTGTTGGTCATCAGGCACACACCTGCCCAGCGGGCGCAGCAGCGGCGGTCTGTGGGATCGCTTTTCGGCGTCGTCGGCGGTCGGCGTCGGCGGTCGGCGGGTCGTCGTCGTCGTCGTCGTCGTCGACGTCGCCGTCGCCGTCGCCGTCGCCGCCGCCGCCGCCGCCGCCCCCGTCCCCGTCGTCGTCGTCGTCGTCGTCGTCGTCGTCGTCGTCGTCGTCGTCGTCGTCGTCGTCGTCCGATGCCGCCGCCGTCGCAGCAGGGGGGCGGGCTGAACAGCACTGGGTTGGGGGGGGTGGCAAGAGGAACAGACAACAAGGGGGGAGGAGGGGGGAGGGCGGAAGAGAGAGAGCGGACAAGGCAGGACGGAGAAGGACGGAGGACGGAAGGAAAACGGAGGGCCGTGGAGGACTGGGGTAGGATGGGGGAGGGGGGAAGAAAGAGGGGCCAGTGCTGGGGGGGGGGACCAAAGGTACAAGGGGACCAAGATTACATATTTCTCTCCTTCTAATATCCATCACCATGCCTCGAGGAAAGAAGTGAAGTGCCCTCAGGTCCCAAAAGTTCTCCGTCCTCCTTCCTGATTGAATGAATATAAAGACGCCGAGAACACAAATTCACAGAGCCCCTGGGTTTGTCGCGTGCCCCTGGGGCCTGCCCACGCGTGTCGTCGCAAAACTTTCTCGCGGCCCCACGGCCCCCAAACGGGCAAAGAGGGCCCCGAGAGGCCCCCGACACTGGTTGCATGTGGCAAGCGTCAAACAAAAGACACCAGCAAGGATCTGAATGGGGCGCAGTCGAAGCCGGTGGCAAGGATGGGCAACCTTCCCAAGGGTATCCTTGTGCCCGCGCCTCTTTGGTCCATACTTGGCTACTTTCGATGGCCGGCCGCGCTCGAAACATCTCCAACGCAGGCGCCCGAGGGGCTTGCATCCTTATCGCGGATCCGTACTACATCGGAAATCTATAATAAGGACGAGCGGTAAGAACGAACGCAAGGGCCTTGGACGCCGAAGTTGGCACTTCTTGGGCGGCGGACTGCCAACGCCCTGAAAGGCTGGCCAGTGAAAGCCGCGAGAGAAGACAGGACGCAACGATACGCTGAGGACACCCCTGCGCCCCTCCTGTGAGTCTTGTCTGCACCAGGCCCGACCGCAAGGGAGAGATCGGGGCGCCCCTCTCGGGCTTCGGCGGGGCGGCGTCCTCCGAGAAGCGCGGGCTGGCTTCACGTCCCTCTTGCACTTTTCAGGGACGGCACGCTCTCGCCCAAGAGGAACAGGAGCGGGCGGCGAGGGCGGCGAGGGAGGGAGAGGGGAGCCGGAGCGGGACGAGGGGGAGGGCGGTGCCCGGGGTCTCCTCCTCCTCCTCCTCCTCCTCCTGTTCCTGTTCCTCCTCCTCCTCCTCCTCCTCCTCCTCCTCTTCCTCCTGTTCCTGTGGTCAGCGAGGGGCAGGCGTGCCTGTGGCGCAGCGTGGCGACGGAGGAAGAGGAGGGAGCGGCAGGAGCGAGGCGCACGGGGGCGGGAGGGGGGGGGGCCGGCAGGGGAGGGGAGGGCGGGGCGGCCCCCGCTCCTCGACCCCCCCCCCCTCCCCCCTTTGGGAGCCCCGCGCGCGCGAGGGAAAGGGGGGGAACGCGCGCGCGGGAGCCACCTCCGCGACCCGCGATCGTCGCTCCTCCTCCTCCGCAGGCGGCCGCCCCTCGAGAGGTCCAGGGTCCTCCTCCTCCTCCTCCTCCTCCTCCCTCCTCCTCCTCCTCCTCCTCCTCCTCCTCCTCCCTCCCTCCTCCTCCTCCTCCTCCTCTCCTCCTCCTCCTCCTCCCCCTCCTCCTCCTCCTCCTCCTCCTCCTCCTCCTCCTCCTCCTCCTCCTCCCTGGTCGGGCAGGTCCCCTGCAGGCGCTTCTCGGGGGTCTTCTGACCCGGGTCAGCCCAGACCCGGGTCAGCCAGGCCTTGCAGACTCCTGCAGGATCCTGCACCCAAGCCCGGGTCAGTGCGAAGGATCCTGCAGGAGCCTGCCGGACCCTGCATGCCCAGGTCCATGCGACCCTGGCTCTGCAGGATCCTGCAAGATCGGGCGCTCTGGCTGACCCCCGTTTGCATTGACCCCCGTCTCAAGGCTACCGAGGTCTTTCGAGGAACAATTCGCCGGCCCAACGGGCCAGAGGCGTGCCAAGATCTCCGGCAACGGCTTTACAAAAGTTCTACTTCGCGCGCGCGGGGCGGCCCCTGGGGGTCCCCGGACCAAAAGTACCCCGGGCAGGTCCCGGGCGACTCGGGTCATGGATGGTTTTCCTCCTGGGCGCCGCCCTCGAGGCCGTCCAGAGAATCTCAAGAAAGGCCAAGAGGCCGCCAAGAGCCCCTCAAAATGATATCAGAGAGCTCCGAGATGCCACAAGATCGCTCCAAGACGCCGTAGATGGCCCCCAGACGGCCCAAGAGGCCTCCAAGAGCACTCTTAAGAGGGCCCAAACAGGCAAACATCATTGGTAGTCCTTAAGGTTTGGACAGATTTGGGCGTTTCCTCCTTGTCGGCTTCCCGACACCTCAAGACGGCCCAAGAGGCCCCCGAAACTGGCCCAAGAGGGTCCAAGAGGCCCCCAAGAGGGCTCCAAGACGGCCCAAGAGGGCTCCAAGACGGCCCAAGAGGGCTCCAAGACGGCCCAAGAAGGATCCCAGGGGGGGGAACACGAAACAACATTTCGAGCCCTCGGCCCTAAGAAGCCCCAAGGAGTCCCTAAGAGTCCCCTAAGAGGCCCCAAGAGGCCCCCAACAGGCCCTCAGGAGACCCTCAAGAGGCCCCCAAGCGGCCCCAGGAGGCCCCCCAAATGCCCCCCCGAGCACGCAAGCAAGTGCTAACGACCCGACGCGTTTAAGAGTTCCCAAGAGGCCACCAAGAGGCCTCCAGAAAGAGTCCCCATAGGCAAAACGCTGCCAGACGGCCCGCGACGCATTCAAGACTCCCCCAGCGACCACCAAGAAGCCTCACATGCCGACGCAAAGCCTGATAAAAACAGCCGGCGCCCCTGTAGCTCCGCACCGCGGATGACCACTCGGTCAGTCGACAACGGCGCGAAATATGGGCTGTCGGAATGAGCGAAGCGATTCAATAAAACATAATAAAACATGCAGAAACATATCCAACAATATGCAAGAACTCATCCCCTGATTATTTTTGGGCCATCTTTGAATATTCTTCCCGCAGAGAGACAGACCCGACTTGAGCCCAAGGGATCAAGCATCGACCACCAAACCTGTCCGGGGAGACCTCCTGCCCTGCATTCTCGAGGGACGTCGCCAGCCGTGGCGAGACGCCCCCCTGAGCCTCAGGACCAGGTCGGGCATGTCCCCCTGCAGGCGAATTCCAGACGAAACACTTAAAATAATAAAGAAATGCGTCAAAATGGTCAGAAGTGGTTCATCAATCGTCCCCAGACCATCTTTTTACTATTTTTGAATTTGCCTCCTGTAGATAGACAGACCCGACTTAACCTCAGGAGCATGGAGAGACGCCCAAAGACCTCTTGCCTCGAAAGGTCGGTCCTGGACCTCCTCTCCGATGGCCCACAAGACGCGTGTCAGCGCCAGCGCCTGCTTTGGCCCACCGAAGCCCCTCAATGCAGCCCTGGCGAGGTATAATCAGGGCCGGCACAGGCTGGGCAGAGCTGAGCGGGTAAACGCGCACAAAATGGGCCAGCACACGCCCCCAGGATCCTCGGCCCACAATTCTCCTGGAAGCCTCTCTTCCTCTGGGGGGCTTCTCCTCCCTCGGGGAGGAGCCCTCTTGAGGAAGCCTCCCAACACCTCTTGCCTCGAAGAGGGCTGGATCGCAGTACGGGCTGCAGCTCCATTGGCGAAAGCTGTGAGTTCCAGCCGTTGCCGCTGGATGCAGTGCGCAAGTTTCGAAACCAGTCGGTCCTCGGGTGCCGTAGAAAGAGAGCATGCGTTGGGCAGCTTGGCTTCGAGCGATGGAGAGATTGACCCTGGACTCTCACGTCGACTCGGTGCCGCGGGGGCGGAATTCGACAAGTTGAAGCGAGTGTGGGGCCTTTCCACGTTGACGCAGTCAAGGGAGCTTGAGATCTGCAACGCGTGCATTCTCAAGAAACTGTTGTATTGTGTGCATGTGGACTTCCTGAAAAAAACGGAAACGAAGAGGCTCAACACTTTCCACATGAGATGCTTGAGGCAAATGCTCCGCATCCCACATTCATACATGTATCCGCGTGAAAGCAATTCTGCAACAAGCAGGCACCACCACCGCGCTGAGCAATGTCCGACTGAACCGTCAACTGCTGCTCCTGGGGCATGTCGCAGCGAAACCAGCCGACGATCCAGTCAGGAGCACTGTCCTTCGCCATTTTCGTGCGAGCTGGCAGCGCAGAGCTTCTAGCGGATGCGGGAGCGCCCCAAGAAGACTCTGGCCGAGTCAACTGACGGGGCCCTGGGACACACAAATAAATACACACTAATAACAACATTCCCCATATTTTCAATATTTTCTGGGTTTTTGTCTTCCCCCCCACTCTCCATAGTTTCCCATTTTCTGGGGAATCGACGATTCATTGTGTCTGTGTGTGTGTTTCTCTTCTGACAACTTTTGCCCAGGCTGTCTGGGCCGCGGGGGGCGAGGAGGCCCCGCCTAGGCTCTGGAAAGGCAGCGCAACTTCTGCCGCAGCCCGGAACGCAGCCGTGAAGCGGTATATTGCGACGCCATGTGCGGCCACGGCTTCTGTGCTCATGCGCTCTGCACTCGGCTTTATCTCTCTCTCTCTCTCTCTCGAAGGTCGATCCTCGCTCTCCTCGATCCTCGGCCTCGACCCCCGCCTCCCTCGACCCTCGCCTTCCCGGAGCCTCGACCTCCTCGACCTCCCCGAACACTCCCCGAACACTCCCCGAACACTCCGCGGAGAGACCGCCCTCGACCCTCGATCCCCGATCCTCGACCTCCTCGGCCCCTGACCCGCGGGCGGCCACTTCTCCGCGGCGCGGGCCCTCTCGGCCTCGTGCACGTCGAGGCCCAGCAGGCCGATCACCGTCCTGCGGCCAGGGTCAAGCCGAGCCCGTCCTCCTACAGGGGGACCCTGGGCGAAAAATGAGACAGAGACCCCCAAATGGGCCAAACGTACAAACAAAAACCGTGCCCGGACCATGCTTGATCCCTCCGGTAGAGGCAAGTGCCCGACCCAAGAGCCTGTTTTCTTTGGATTCAGGCAAGTTTACTTGCATGGCGTTCGCCCCCCCCCCCCCCCCTCGCCCTTCTTCAAGCGAATACTAGCGTGCAAGTGCCTTTCGACTTGCGTGATTTCCGCGCCCCCCCGGGCTTGCTTCAGGCTCAGCCCCCCCCCCGTCCATGCAAGTAAACTTGCCAGAGTCTAAAAAAAACAGGCTCTAGAGGCAAGTGCCCGACCCGAGACCAGGGGCGGCCACGGGGGGCCGCGCACGTCTCGGCCGGAGGCCCCCCGCCCGCGGCGCAGAACCACGACGGGCCCCGCCGAGCCCCGCCGCAGCACCACGAGGGGCAGGGCCTCCGGAGGCCCCCCGTGGGCGGGGCCCGAGCAGACGGGCTCGGAGGGAGCCTGTTTTTTTTTAGACTCTGGCAAGTTTACTTGCATGGACGGGGGGGGGGGCTGAGCCTGAAACAAGCCCGGGGGGGGGGGGCGCAGAAATCGCGCAAGTCGAAACGCATTGCATGCTAGTATTCGCTTGAAGAGGGGCGAGGGGGGGGGGGGGGCGGGGGCGAACGCCATGCAAGTAAACTTGCCTGAATCCAAAAAAAAAAACAGGCTCAGGATCCCGCCGCACCGCTGGTGCGCCGGCGATGCTGCACGGGCGACGCCGGGGAGCCATCGGCGAAGCCGGCGCGGAGAAAGTCGGGCTCCGCATCGAGCCGCCTCGCCGAGGCGTCCGCGAGGCATCGGCCGTGCGCGCCATCCCCCGACCCCATCCGCTTCGACCCCACGCGGGAGGCCTGGAGTCTCGCCGTCTTCGGCCCCTGGGGCCCTTGGCCTCGGGGCCGGCAACAGAAAAACGGCTCGGGAGGAGAGACCGGTCCCGGGGAACGGGTCGAGAGCTCTCTGGGGGTCGACGCCATGAAACAAATCATGACGTTGGGGGTAGGGGCAGAGGGGGGCTAGAATAGTATCGCGCCTTGAATAGACCCTGGAAGACGGAAATGTGAGCATTCAGCTGGGGTCCTTCCCTAATCCCACTGTGGGATACCCCCCCCCCTTCACGAACCCCCGACTCCCTGCATCTCTCTCTCTCTCTCTATCTCCTGACCAGCCTCGAGTTTCTCCCTATCCCTGGGCTTGGCAAGCCCAAAGGCGATGACAACTGAGGGCATCCTTAAGATCGGCATCGAGACAGTACGAGATAAATGCGAATACAGTCATAGGGACGGGGTGTGTTTTGAGCAGGGACCCACCGTCCCAGCATTCCTATAGTCCTACCACGACATGTTCTTAGAACCCAAGAATGTTCGGATAACAAAAACGATGTTCTTAGAACACAATCCCGATGTGATAAACCAAGACCGTCCCAACCAGAAATGCTCTAAGAACGTTTCGTGGGTACCACAGAAGGTTGTTAGAGCATTGTTTGGTAGGGTTATAGGCACGCCAGGACGCTTCGCCACTGCGTCATATCGGGGGCGGCCAAGAGGGGGACGTCCAAAGGGGGGGCACAAATCATGGCCGGCGGCATGTGTGCGGCCCAGGGGGGGGCCAGGGACGCAATGAGATAAGAAAAGGCGCCATGAGATCTGGGGAAATATCATGGCCGCGTGCGTGCGTGCGTGCGTGCGTGCGTGCGTGCGTGCGTGCGTGTGTGTGTGTGTGTGTGTGTGTGTGTGTGTGTGTGTGTGTGTGTGTGTGTGTGTGTGTGTGTGTGTGCGTGCGCGTGTGTGTGTGTGTGTGTGTGTGCGTGTGCGTGCGTGCGTGCGTGCGTGCGTGCGTGCGTGCGTGCGTGACGGGGTGCGTTCCGGGCTGGTCCTCTCCTGCTCCCTCTTCGGCCCTCCCGGCCCGCTCCTGAGGGCGCGCGCCGCGCTCGCGCCGTGCGGCCTCGCGTCGTCGGGCGGCGGCCACGGGGAGCCCGGCGACCCATGGCCCTCGCTGCTGCACGGCGACTTCGGCGACGAGAGCGGCGACGCCCGCGAGAAGACCTCGGCTCCGAGAGCGGACGGGGAGGCGGAAGGGACGAGGGGGGGGGAGCGAGGGAGGGGAATGGACGGGGAACGATGGGACGAGCAAGCAGGGTTGGGGAGGGACACGGGGGCGATGGGGACGGGGGGCGAGGCGGGAACCAACCAGCATTTTCCCCTCCAGGAAGAGGTTTAGCACTGCTCCGTCTTGATATACAGTCCCTCCCCACTCCACCCGCGACAGACCAAAGCCATTGCGGGCCCCCCTCCGCCACCCGTGACAACAGAGTGCGTTTCTGGCCACGGCGAGCCTCGGCCACTAACAGGTTCCCTGGTCTGGGCCTAAGGAGCGGCCCGAAAACTGGCGCCCCTCCTGAGCCCCAAGTGGTCCCTGTGTCAGCGTCTTGGCTGTGGCCAAGGAATCGCACAAGGCTTAGGACTGCATCTCGGGATCGGTTGCCTCGGTGCCTTTGGGGAGAGAGTCTCGAGGACACTTCGCTGTTCGAAGCCAGGGCCAGGTAGCAATCTGCGGCAGAGAAGGCAGCGGCATGCATCGGCACGCTCGACACGAGGCGGAGCGGAGGAGCACGGCGATGCACACAACAGCAGGAATCGCCAGAGGATGCTTCGCGCCACCTTGACGCATGCGCGACTACCGTGAAGGGGCCCCAGGACACACAAACAAATACACACAAATAAAAGTATCCCCCATGTTTTCCCACATTTTCTGGGTTTCTGTCTTCCCCCACACTTCCCATATTTTCCCATATTTTCTGAGGAATCGACGATGAATTATGTCTGTGTGTTTTTCCCCTCCTGACTACCGAGCGTCCGATGGCTCCTTCACGCATTCCACAAAGCACACACGGCACGCGCGGTGCCTGCCGGCCGCCATCGCGTGGAGCGCCCTCACCCCGTCGTGCGTCCTCCGCTAGGGGGGAATAACAAACCGACCTCGCTTTTGACCGCAGACACACAAGCTAACAAAACTAAAAAACCACAAAAAATGTCAATACTGAATGAAAAGTTGAATGTATAACCAATTTTTGAGTTATTGTGCGATCGCTTCCAATTTTTTCCATCCGGCAAGGTCATGCGGTACGGATCTGAGTGTTTCGTCTGGCAACGCTACAGGGTTACCACGTCCTCTGGTCTGTCCCCGCCGGACTACAAACGCAAGTGTGCACCAAGTGCAGAGAACTGCTACGATACATCATGTGGGCATGCGCTGTCCAAGGGAAAACTGACAGTGCGGAGTATGTAACGTACCAAATGATGCCAAATTGCAGCCTGTACTGGTCAGGCCGCTTGACGAGGAGGCGCGTGGTATGGCTTGGCTTTGCCTGGGAGCGAAAGCGGGGTAGGCAATTCACGCTCTGCTTCTCTTTCTCGCTCCTCGGGAGCGCGCGCCTCTGCTGGGACCGCGCGGTCCGCCGCTCCGGTCGCCGCCCGCGGCACAGCCAAGCGCAGAGCCGCGGCTATCTTTATAGAAAGTGCACTAAAATACAGGGAGCGCGATGCGGGCCGTGGGCGCGCGACCGCCGCTCGACCTCGCGGGCCGGCGAGGCGGCGAGAGGCCCCTCCCGCCGCACCGTGCCAGGCTCTCGGCCCGCCCCGGCGCGCCACCGCGGCCACTGCCGCACGGTTGCCGCGGGGGGGTCCGCGCCCGTCGACGTGCCGCCCTGGGCCTCGAGCACCGCCTCCTCCTCCTCCTCCTTGCCGCGGGGGCTCCGAGCACGGCCTCCTCCTCCTCCTCCTCCTCCTCCTCCTCCTCCTTCCAATCATCAACATCATCATCATCATCATCATCATCATCATCATCATCATCATCATCATCAGCATCATCATCATCATCATCATCGTCATCATCATCGTCATCATCATCAGCAGCATCATCATCATCATCATCATCATCATCATCATCATCATCATCCAGACATCCTCATGCAAACGGTGCGGATGTCCGAGCGGCCTTGGCACCTCCCAGCGCGCCTGATTCTCCTCCTCCCCTCGTCCTGTCCTCGGGGGAGGAGGCGGCTGGCAATCCCTCCTCACTCTGTTGAGTCACTACAACATGTCACAGCTTCAAGGTCGCTGGCAGCTCCCGACTCTCCTGTCGGCGCCTCGAGGAGGATCCCCTGCGGACGCAGACAACGTCCTCTAGCACCAGCAGGACTCGTGTAGAAGGGGCCACGTCGTTGCTCCCATCCTCGGCGACATCCAATCTCAAGACTGCGTTCGCAGATATTTCGCGGACTGCTGAGCCCATGTGAGGCAGTTTGAGATGGATTTTAAATGTCCCCATACTAGGATTTTGATCCTGCGCACCGTCGCCACACTCAAGATCATCCATAAGATTGTTGTAGGCCACCGTGGCCCATTTCATAAACGCCCTCTTATTGACGACCCACTGCAACAGCCCCGCGCCTTCGCATACAGGTCCACTCAGCTTCAAGAACTCGGCGGAGCAATGCAAAATAGGCAAACCGTCGATGTCTGGGTTGATGTGGACAGTCATTCCCGCACACTGGGTACCGATCAGTGCACCAGAAGAGAAACTCCCTGATAAACTGATCGAATCCTCCGAGATTCCTGCACAGGCGTCGGAACGCGAGACCACTGGCCTATCGCGAAGCTCGCTGTCAGGCGGCGCCCGAAGAAAATCAGAATCTTCCTTCACACCCACTATGTGGATCGGCTCGTCGTCTATGTCAATGCCCTGGGCATGGAATAGCTGAAATTTCAGCGGCATACCCCATGAATATTTGAACGACACGTGAACGGTGCTAGCATCATACATTGGCCGATTCAAGAATGTATCCAGACGGTCCTTCTCGGAAGCGTCGAAGGCTAAATCAACAAATGAGACACCGACACCCATAGTTGTGGGGGATCTGAAAAGCAGTGTGGCAAGGTGTGCGGCTGGCTTTGAGAACAGAAGATCTTGCGACAAATGCACCACCGCGTCGCACACACTTGACAAGAGCCCGCCCGCTATGGACTCAACATTTCGCGACGTTTTCGCCTCCAACATTGCCAAAAACTCAGCGTCGCGGGACTTTCTGACGGATGCTGTTACGGCGAACATGAGGAGCGAAACGATCAACTCCTGACGCGTGTCGGCGGGCTCGTACACCGACGAAACAGCTGCGACGTACACAAGACCCAAAACGAGAGTCAGCCTAGGTCTGCAATGAACAATGCTCACTGCGATGCGTTCGCAGATTCTCACTGGGCTGGCTTTCAAGAAAGCGATCTTGTCTTCGGCAGTGACCGCAAGGTACCAGACGACCGTATACAGGAGCACGTGGAACAAGAACACGACAGTAGGGGTGACCAAATGGGGCTTGAGAGTACCTGCCATAAGGAACATAGTCAGAGCCATGTTGCCGAGGCGCGCCGCTGAGGACATATCATTCTGGACCAGTTGAACCATGTTATAGCAGAAGGCAAAACAGAGTATCCTAGGGCACCCCCAGACCACTTGCTCAGAGAGTCGTTTGTCCGCCATATCCTTCAGCTGACGATGTAACGGATGCGGGGCCCAAACGATCACTGCCCTGGGCTAAAAGCTAAGTCCGTTTCGCTGGAATGCGCCTGGAGTGGGGCCTCTCGCTTGAGCCAAGACGGCTAGGACCTGTCCTGCGTCCTTCTTGTTCCACGCTAGGCCGTCGAGCTATCAAGCACGGGCTGCCCGTGCAGGCAAACGATCTGTGCCATGCCCTTTGCTGAGAGAGAACCTTATCGCACTAAAACAATATGATCTCCGTCCGTGTATCTGCTGGGAGTCCTACCACCACTCGGGGTGTAACAGAGGGCTACTCTTCTCCTCCACCCTCCCCAAGAGATCTGGATCGAGCCGTTCGCCGGGAGCTGGACACAACAAAGGCTTCAACGTGTCTGTGAGGTGACACCCAAACCTCCCGATGATGTTCCCGATTTAACGAAATCACAGCGCAGCACGCCAGACTTACGTCTAAGAGGGGCCCATGCGTGTCCAAAGAAGATCCGGAGGCTCCCCCAGGGAGTATCAAGTCCCCCCATGTGTTGGCCGATCGCTGCCAGCATGGCCCAGGACGGCCCGACAGGCTCCCACACTTGCTCCACGAGAACCACGAGAGCGCCCCAAATGGCCCCCTAAAGAGATTCAACATGGCTCCACATGTCCTCTTCGCAGCCCCCCAGAAGGCGCCATGTTGTTTTCTAGGGGGCGCTCTGGGGCTGATCACGGTTGGGGCTTTCGCATGCTCCTCACATCCCTTCTTAAAGCAAGCCACGTGATGATATGTTATGTCTGTGCTGTCGGGAACACTTTTTTTGCGTCGGCGGCTAGGCAGAGGGTGACTGCGCTGGCGATGGGGGCTTAAACGGGGATGCCTGAAGCTCGAACATTTGTTTGCCATGTGATCGTACATCGGGAAGGGATACTGCGCGAAAACGATAGATTGTAATCTAACCGCTCTCCATTCAGGAAATGGCTTCAGATTTCACGCTCAGGTCGTACGCACGTGCCACGGGCGTGGTCTGGAAATGCTCTTCCCTGCTGTCTTGGCGAACGAAGGACGGGATGTCACAAACTTCTCCGCCGTGTGGAACGCCTGTCGCAGGGGGATCGGCAACAGGCTGTGTCACTACGTGCCCCCTCGGCTGTGTAAACTTTCCAGCCGCCCTGGGACAGTCGCCCCCTGGCGGAGAGGCTTATGGTACACCGTCTTTCGTGCGCTGACTCCTCGTGGCCGCCTCGGGTGGGCCCCCCTCTGCAGGCACGCCAGCCCACACCCAACTAGGCGTGATCGAGTCAAAAGGAAACCATCCATTTGTTCCCTTCCCGCCAGAAGGCTCCGAACGGCCACCTGTCCCAATACGGGCGCAAAGGCCGCCAGGATGGCCCAAAAGGCCCACCAAGACGCCGTATGAGAGAAACCCTAAGGATTCCGCAAGCAAACTCAAGGCAGGCTCGAGAGTGCAGCAATTGACCAACTTTCGGCGTTCAATGCGTGCAATTTCCTACGCTTTTCCGC